GAGAGACAGTTTTTTGTCAGTAGTCAACAGTTTCAAATATTGTTTTTCATTTTTTAAAACAATGAATTATAAATTGTTTTTACAAAAAGTGAAAGGCACAGTGAAACAATATTTGCACTTCACTATTTTAGAACCAAAATAATTCAGAATACAAAATAATTCAGGCGGCCAGCACCTAATTTGTCCTGTAGGTGGCAAAATTGTAAGAAGAATCCAGGGACAGAATTCAGAATTACTACACTGAGGTTAACAGTGGTAGATAACTTAAAGCTTTACTTAAAATACAGTTTTTAAATTTTTATCACGTTTTACATATTTAAAGATGCCTTTTATTTCTTTTTTCTTTTTCTTTCTTTCTTTTTTTTTTTTTTGAGAGATTTTTATTATAGGGCACATGTGCTAACAAGTGAGACAGAGAGGGACAGAGAGACAGAAGGCAAGAAATCACCTACTAGGGGGTATGGCCATTCCACAATCCCTTCTCCATTTTCTTCTTGGGATCTTGGGCATGCACGCACATGCGCCCAGCATGAATTTTAAGCCACTGGGTCCAGGACTCGAACTGCAGTGGACTATGTGGGAGTCCAGCAATGTAATCAATTTGCCACCTGCTGGTCCCTAAAGATGCCTTTTCTGTTGCTTCTAATTAACAGACTTACTGTTGCAATGGTCAGTGTTAATGCTCAGAAATATGTTCTTTTTTTCTTCAGAAGCAAGATTTTTCAGTCCAAGGATTATTTGTTAATTCCTCTCATTTTGCTCTTGTGTCTAACAGATTTTACTTTCTTGTATGAGTCATCCAAATTGGAAGAAGAGAGATTGTAAAACTAAATATCTGTTGTTACTTAGCAGTTTTGAAAAGCAAGCTTGATTGAAATAAATATCTAAAAGGGAAGATAGGAGACCCTGTGATTTCATCTGGCTTTATATTTTCCCAATCACCTTGAACTGGAAGGCAAAATAGTAACAATTCTTTTTTTTTTTTGAGAGGTTTTTGCTATAGGTCGCGTGCTCGCCAGAAAGACAGAGAGACATAGAGAGACAGAAAGTGAGAAATCACCCCCCAGGGGGGATGGCCACACCGCAATCCCTTCTCCTCCATTCTCCTCTTGGGATCTTGGGCATGCACGCACATGCGCCCAGCATGAATTTTAAGCCACTGGGTCCAGGACTCGAACTGCAGTCAGCTACATGGGAGTCCAGTGACATAGCCATTACGCCAACTGCTGGTCCCAACAATGCCTTTTTTAGAGATTTTTAGCATATGTGCTATAGGGCACATATGTTCGAGGAGACACACAGAGAGAGACAGAGAGAGAAAGTGAGAAATCGCCCCCTGGGGGGCAGGGGAACAACAACACCACAATCCTTTCTCCTCCCTTCTCATCTCATGTGAGATGAGAACACACATATGTGTGCCCAGCATGAATTTCAAGCCACTGGGCCTGGGGCTCAAACCAGGGTTGACCTTGTAGGAGTCCAGCACCTTAACCACTATGCCAACTGCTGGCCAAGTAACAACACTTTTAAGAAGTTATGGATAATTTATTATGGAAGATTTGGGGCACCATAATTATGAGTACACTTATATGTAAGAAAAAAAGCTTATAAATTATTACAAATAAAAGCTAACTCTAGTCAAATAACATTGTATGCTTAGGAGTTGACATATTACTCTTTATAGCTTCTTTAACGCCTTTCAAGATGGAAATACTATTCTGTGTTCTTGACTTATCATGGAAAAGCTAGACATGAAATATAGCCAGTACCACCAAATAAAAAGTAGCAATCCTTAACTATATAGTTAGTTGAAGAACTAAGAAATATATAGCTACTTGAAGAACTAAGGCTAAATGAAGAATAAAAGGGAAAGTGTATAGTATGTTATATCAATATGTTCTGAAAATGTTGACATAGTACAACTACCTAAAAAATAGACAGGGACCAGCTGGTGGCATGGTGGTTAAGGTGGCTGGATCCCACCATGGCCAGCTGTATGATTCAAATCCCGGCCCCAGTGGCTTGGAAAACACACCAAACACATATGTATGCACACCCAAAATCCTGAGAGGAGACTAGAAGAGAAGGGACTGTGGAGCTGCCATCTCCTTTGAGAGGTGCTTTCTCACCTTGCCTCTCTCTCTCTCTGTCTCTAGGTGAGTGTACATGTCCTATAGCAAATTTTTTTAAAAAACAGAGAAGTGAAAGAGTTTTAATGAAAACATTTTTCATATTTTAACTATCATATTGATTATGTTATTAGTGTTGTTACTCTGAGACATGTACATGTGTAAGGCAAATACAGGAAATCAGTAATTGTGGAATATCCTAATTCTAACATGCCCTGTGTCCTTGAAAATCAGAATTCTCAATATAGAAAGACAAAAGATCTAGTCGTAGTAGAAACGTTAGGTAAAAATCCTGCAGTATTAAATTGTATTGGGGAACATCAAAATAAATTCATGAAACGTTTTTATCTTTAAAAATTCAGATATTTTCTAGCATTCTCTTAGAAACGTAATCAATCTAGTAGCAACGAGCATCCTTAGAGCCCAGACCATGGTTTGAAATACCATTTTTCTCTCAAAGAAGCCAGGCTTCTTAGAAAAATGGTCAATTCTAGGTCTGGGACAGGAAACACACAAGGTGAGCCTGGGATAGCTTACATTAAACAGCAGAAAACTACTCAAGACCTCCAGAATGGTGTCAAAAAAGACTCAGGGCCAACATTAGGTTACTTATGAAAAAGAAAAAGGTGGCCAAGGGCAAGACAATTTGAGCTTCAATAAAGAAATAGTTATAATGGATTGAAGCTCAGCAAATATGTTTGAATCCATGAATTCATAATACTTTTTTTAAAAAGTGATCTCTGGCTTTGGGGGGAGGGGGAGGAGGCAGCAAGTGGTGTGGCAGCTAAGATGCTGGATTCCCTTATGGCTGACCGGAGTTTGAATCTCAGACCCAATGGGTTGAAAATAATGCCAGGCGTGTGTGTACACATGCCCAAAGTCCGAAGAGGAGAATGAAGGGGAAAGGATCACAGAGTGGCCACTCCCCAGGGGGTGATTTGTCATTTTGTCACTTTTCTTCTCTCTGTCTCTCTCTAACAAGCCCTATGGCAAAAATCTTAAAAAAAAATAAAATAAAAAAATAAGAAAAGAAAAGAAAAGAAAAAAGAAAAGTTGATCTCTGGAAAATGATAGAAAACAAGTTTATTGTCTTGAAAATTGGTAAATAAAAGAAAAAAATCAAATATTTATTTTCTTTTTCCTATATAAACCCTACCACTGGTTAACAAAATGAGAAAAAGCATCTCTTTATGAAAAGGTTCTAAATAAAAAGTAATGAAAGAATTAGAATATTTTCCAATCCATAATGAATGAACATATGTAGGCAATTAGTATCTATTTCAGCTAAAAGCACAAAAAGAAAAAAAAAAAAAAGCATTATGTGCCCTCTGATGAAAGAAGAAACCATGACCTGCAGTCTTGCCAGAAGGACTGAAACTGATTCCATTCAAACCCCTCGATCTATATGTCAATATCCAGAGGCTAGAGGAACATGCTGAACTGCACCAAGAGTATGCAATTGGCAAGATACCAATTGTGGGAAACTTTATAGGTGATAAGACCAGGTTCTTCATCTGGTAAGTTTTAAGGAAGAAGGGAAATACCTATAGATTTTTTAGAAGATGTAGAACTGGCTCTGTGGCACAGCAGTAACGTGCTTTTCAAGAGAAGTCAGATCCCATATGACAACTGTAGTTCAAATCCTTAACCCTATCAGCCTGAAACATGAGAGGCATGTGTGCAAGTGCCCAAGATCCATCCAATGGGCTGAACATCTGGAGAAGGGGGATCGCAGCATGAGGGTGCTTCTCTTT